GTCAGCCCCTTTTTTTTTTTTTTTTTTTTTGACCAAAGTACAAGTCAACTCAACGTTGATTCTCCTCTTAAAATTACCAATAATAACCTGCTGTCATCTTAACCGTCCATCACATCAGCTAGATTTAATTAAACTCACGTTTTATTAAACCAACCAGATTAAAAATTTCAAATAAAATTTCATGCGGATAAAAAGAGAGAATCAGGTAATGAGGTGGCCTATATAAACAACCGAAGATGGCCATCATTTTATCAAATAGTTTGTTGATAGAACTGAGGAGCCAAAGTTATCCTTCACTTCTTCTTCTTCTTCTTCTTCCGTCTTCTTCTTCTTTCTTCTCTTAGTTGCTGGGGCAGCCATGATTTCTGCAGCGACCTTCAGAACAGCGGTGGGGATCATAGGTAAGCTAAGTCTGCTTTCTTGTGGCCATTAGTGCATTAATGCTCCCTTTCTCTCTCTATCCCTCTCTCTCTCTCTTCATTAAAGAAGCTGTTGATCTAGATGAATATTTTTGAATTCTTGGAGGATTTACATGACTGCAGCAAAATTTTCATGCTCAAACTTTTAAACTCTGATTGCTTCAGCTTTTTATTACTATGATTAACAAAAATATTTAAGAAATATATGTATATGATAAATCTAAGAAAGTAATCTATGTATTTATATTAATATATATTATTGGCATGGTGGTCTAGCAGTACTATTTAGCTAAAAATATGCTGTCTCTTCTTCTTTTCCCGTGTTCCAGAGATACTTTCAAAAAGTTGGAGTAATGCAAATTCAATTGAAAATCATGTCCACGAGAATCTGCCCATTTCTCAATTTCAAAAGTGCAATACCTTTACCTTCCACAATTTTCAACATCAAATAAACACTTAATTAGTAAAAGATAATGAAAAATTCATATCGATATCGTCGGTTTAACCCAATTATTCGGCTAGGCATTTAATATTTTTATTTTTTAAATAAATATTAAAAAACGTAAATTAAATTTAATAATTTAAGATAATGAAAAATTATTAGTTTTATTGTCCTGTCAACATCTTTGAAGTCGGCACCGTACCAATTGCTTTACTTATCTACTTTCTTTATTTTCGCCCGTGATCACCTTTTTTTTTCTTTTTTTGAGTTTGTTGTCTTCCTTCTTCTGTCAGGACTTGACAGAGGACAAGATTTGCTGAGGATGCATAAAAATTTGATCGGATTCTAGTTTAAATATTTCAATTTTAACTTCAGATATTTATATTTTTAAAATTTTTAATTATTTATAATTTTTAATTTCTTACAATTTTTAATTTTCTCAAAATTTCACTTTGTTTTATTTTTTTCTTTTGAATTTCTGAAAGAAGCCATTTTGTTAGGAAATTTTGGCCTGATGGTGAAATGTGGCATAAGTTGTACCCAAAGGCCGATGGTGGTGATAGTGATTTAACTAAAAAATAAATAGCTTTTTGTGCTGAAATTAATCCATAATTACTCCAAACTGTTCAACATTCCCACCAAAGATTAACTCAAGATTTCTATTAAATCTACTTAAGTTAAGAATAACTTAATTTAGAGATTTATTTGTCTTAATTTTAAGCTGAAGTCAGATTTTTTAATAATTAAACTAAAAATTTATTCTTAGACGTAGCATTTTTTTAAATATTTTTCTAAAAAATTATTATTAGAAGTTTTTTTTTTATTTTTTATTTCTAATCAGTTTAAAAAAAATGATAATTTGGCAGCAGGCTAAAAACAAATATGAGATTATTTCTAATCAGTTTAAAAAAATTGATAATTTGGCAGCAGGCTAAAAACAAATATGAGAGTGATTTCAAAAACATTAATTCGATAGGTAAGGTGGCACTTTTGATTCATTTCAACATTAATTGATTTTATTTTATTATGAGCATGTAAATCTTATCATATCTGTCACGAAAAACAAGCATTCAAACAATAATGAGTCATTATATAATGGGACAAATCTTGCCTCGGTGTCAAAAGACGTCTTAATAGTATTGAAGCGAATTATAGCACTCCATCTTATCTATGTTTTTTGTCTAACACAAAACCTGTGGTTAAAAACATCTAATCATTTAAAATTTCAGTAAATATTATTTTAAAACATGATTAAGAAATGTTATCAATTAAATTTATCTAATGATTAATTTAATACAAAATTTAATTACTGATTTACATAATGCTCATCTTAAATTAATTTCCATTTATTGACTAATTTTAATTAAGGATATCCTGAATAAAAAAAAAATCAGATTTTTTTATGAAACATCACTTGCTTATTAATTACTCCCTTTTCTCTTGCAGGAAATGCACTATCCCTGATTCTCTTCCTCTCTCCAGTGTAAGCAGCCATGAGCTTAATTACCTTCATTTCTTACTAAACACCATACTTAATCGTAATTAATCTAATACATTCCATCTTAATCTCAAAAAAATAAAAATAAAAAAAATATATGCAGGCCAACGTTTCGAAGGATTTGTAAAACCAAATCAGTGGAGCAATTCTCACCAGCTCCTTACCTAGCAACTCTTCTAAATTGTATGCTGTGGGTGGTCTACGGAATACCGTTGGTGCACCCAAACAGCACTCTGGTTATCACCATTAATGGCGCCGGAACAGCCATAGAACTCACCTACGTGGTTCTATTCCTCGCCTATTCCCAAGGCAAGCTACGCCTGCGTGTGTTCGCCGTGCTGGCCGCCGAAGTCGCCTTCGTGGGACTTACGGCCGGCCTCGTTATCGGGCTTCTGCCGACACACGAGCGCCGATCGCTCGTCGTTGGTATTATCTGCATCTTCTTCGGCACGCTTATGTACGTTGCCCCCTTGGCCGTAATGGTACGTCGCTCCGCAATAAGTTCTGTGATTTGAATATTAGTTAAGATTAAGCTTGTTTTGCTTATGGTTGCTTTTTTGTTCCTAATCTCTAGTTACCTGCACTTAATTTGGATGTTAACATATCAAAGAAATGTAATTTTGCTATTTTAAAACAATTTATTTGAAATATTTGATAAATTTGTTCATTGCAGAAATTGGTGATCAAGACCAAGAGTGTGGAATACATGCCATTGTTCCTCTCTCTTGCTTCCTTCTTCAATGGCGTTTGCTGGACTGCATATGCCCTCCTGCGATTCGACCTCTTTATCACAGTAAGAAGCTTATGAGTCCGCTTTTCCTAGAATTCTAATAAGAATCTTTAAAAAATTAAAAAAAAAAAACTATTTGGCTTTATTAAAAATTTATATATTTATTTGAGCTTGGTCGAATTATATTCGATCTAGAGTGCCAAAAGTCTTACAAATGATTGAAGTTAAATTTTGATTATGTTCTAACTGGCAACTCTACAGATTCCAAACAGCCTTGGAGTTATCTTCTCCATAGCACAGCTCGTCCTGCATATACTGTACTACAAATCCACGAAGCAGCAGCTGGAGGCACGTAAAAAGGCTCCCGAGATCGATCTGACTGAGGTGGTCGTGAAGGAAGGAGGAGCACAGCAGAAGGGCCGCCACTAATTTTAATTATTCAATAATTAATCATAGTTATTGGCATGTAACTGTGCTTAATTACATCTGATTTACCTTTTATTTCTACCACCAGCAGCAGCCTTCTTCTTCCCTCGCTGCAGTGAAGCTTGTGATAAGCTAATTAATATTGTAGCTCTATCTTTGCTCTCTTTAATTTTTCTTTTTTTTTTTCGGTTTCTGTATTTTGGATTTAGCACCAAAGAGTGTCTCTGAGGATTTGTCCTCTTTTTCTCAGTAATAAATAATTTAATCTCTTGCATTTTACCCGTTATATTTTCCTCTCTCCCTCTCTCCCTCTATAATATATATATATTAAAAGGAAACAATTATGAAATATTTAACAAAATAGAAGGCTTGATTTTTAACCGTATCAAAGCAGGTTATGAGTTAAAATCTTTTACAATAAATTTGTTTCGAGGCATTCACTGTGAAAAGGAGTTTTCAAGCTAAAATCGCTTATATATCAATAGAAGGATAAGAAGAAAATAGTAGAAATCAATCTGAAGAAATGCAGATTAGTTAGGGATGGACGCCACTTAATTTTCAAAACACATTATCAAGACATACTTGTGCCTCTGTTGAATGTCCCCTCTGCTTTTTCTTCTAGGCTCAGCGGCGTTGTATATAACAAAAATATCAACACCAATATAAAAAAAAAACGAACGACCAAGATGAAAAGAACTTCTTTCGATGTAAGCAATCAACCGATGATTCAAGTCCGAGCATGAAGTCTCATCTCCAAACCTGGGATAGGTTCAAACTCTGGAGATAGTTCCCCACTCGGTAGCTTCAAGACCCGTCGAAAGTGAGGCGTGAATCGTCCCAGCTGTGAGTCTCACCAAATACCCTGTGTGGGCTGCGATAAGATCCGCTTAAGACCTGACAAGATTGGGAGGTCCGGCCGAGGTGATGATCCACCAGGCATGTTAGACACGAGCAATCTAAGACTCAAGCCGAGCGGAACATGAGCCACGACTCACTATAAAAAAAAGTAGGTTTATTACGTTTGACCGTCCAACCCCGCATCGGTACCAAACAACTACATCACAAACGACCGCTCTAGTCGGTCATGCCAGAAGACGCAAAGCAAAATCTTCATACGACCGAACACCTAGACCGACCAACGTGTAGTTGATCCACCTTAAAATTACTTATTTTTTATGTACATTTTATGCTCAATTTTTTAGGATATTGTGCTTTAATGAAGGGTATTTTTTTGTTTTTGATTGCAGATGTAAACAAAAGAGTTTAAGAGTAAAAAGAAACAAAAATACATAAAAAATGGGCAAAATAGACTAAATTGAAGAAAAATACCAAACCGGTCAAAATGGCACCTAGGAGCCACGGTTATCTTCTATAAGATTCATTGAATGAGACTGAATTTTGAAGAGATGTCCGAAGCAACCCATAGTCATTTTTGAATCTCTATAAATATATATTAATTCCAAGGGACTAGGGGGCGGATCTATTGAGTCTCGTAGTGTGTGAGTGTGTTAAGTGTGTGAAAAGTTTTCTTTGTGATTCCTTGTTATTTCTGGAGTTTGTGAGTCTTGTAAGTGATGTTGGAGTCAAAGGAGTCAGAGAAGTCAGAGAACTTCAAAATAGTGCTTGGGGGAACATTCCAGATAAGTATTTGTATCTTTCTTCTTAAGTTTTTGACTTTGATTTGGACTTTTATAAATATATTTTTTCTGTTATCCTCATACTTCGTGAGTAGTTTTCTTTTCTTTCTCCTTGCAATATGAAGTAATTAAGTAAGTCATTTTGATTTTTTTTAGAACTTCTTTTATTCTTAAAAATTATGATGATATTTTAATCGGTTCTTCATTTACTTTACAAATTGGTCACTTGTTTTGTTAAAACTTGTCGTGGAACTTATAGACCCGAAAGGACTAAGATTTCTTGACTTGTAAGTATCACATTCTACCTTGAAAAGAGCAGTCGCAATCGTCTAAAAACGAGTGCAAATAGATAGGGAGTTAATATTTAATGGGCGTAGAATTGATGTTTCTAGGGTGACAGGCTAGATTTTTTTTATCAATTGGTCTAGAGATTGGAACTGAGGGGTCACTGGTAGGTACTATAGAGAGAGCACAATGGGTAATCTAGAAGTGATAGAGTAGAACCTACCCAACACTACTATACATGTCGACACCAACTTTAAATTAGTCAATATTCTTAACACAATTCGAAAGTTAGTAAAGAAATAGATATGTGGTACACCTATAATATATAACATTTATATACACATTTTTATAACTATTTTTGAGATATTGAGATTTAATGAAAGGTATTTGTGTGTTTTTTATTCGGGTACAATTAAATGGATGAAATATGGTGAAAGGAGTAAAAATAGATCAAATTTGGAGCAAAATGAATAAGGTGTGAAAACGAACTATGGCGCCTAAGCGCCCAAGACTGACGCTTAAGCGCAGGAAATAGAGAAGGTCGCACCTAAGTGCCAAAGATCTCGCGCTTACGCGCCAGAGGTAGTTATTAGGACAAATAAATGAATTTAGATGAATTTCGAAGGGGTGTTTAAAACAACTCTTGGTGAAAACGTGAATTATAGTTAATGGGCACAAAAATACATTGAAATGACTCTTGAAAAGGAAAAATTATTCCATACGGATCGGACACCGTATGCAAGCTGCGTGCGGTGTCCGATCCGGACCGTAAATCACCTGATCTACGGTCCGGATGTATTTCGGTGGGCCCCACCTAATTTTTTTTAAATATTTAAATGGAAATAATCCTGACCTTAGATCACCGTGATCGGAAATAATCCTGATCTTAGATCACCGTGATCTACGGTCAGGAACGGACACCCCATACGCAATAATTTCACCTTGAAAAGAGGCAACTCTTGAAAGATTCATTGAATGTGGACACATTTTGAAGAGACACCAAGGCACCTTTGGAAAACTATAAAAAAAGAAGACTTTGATTGAAATACCCCCCCTCCCCTCTCCTTTTCCCTTTATCACCCCTATTATCATAGAAGAATTAGGATATTTTTAGAGTTAAGAAAGGGAGAGTTGTAAGAGAAAGGAAGAGATTCAAATGAACATCATGAGTTTGGTAGAGAGAAATTTGAGATAAGTTTTTATCTTTGTAACTACATTTGGTTTTAGTTTTGACTTCTTGTGTTTTTACATGATTTTTACTTTTAAACTTAAGTTTTTTTGTGTTTTCTTCATGAATTTTGAGCAGTTTTCTTTATCTTTTTCCATAAAATAATAAGTAAATAAGTGTTGGAAAGAAGTTGTGTGAAGAATTATTGGTCGCCAAATTAGAAGTTGTCGGCCGCCAAAATAGATATCCTGACACCCAGTTTAAAAGATGTTTAATTTAATTTATATATACTTTTTGGAAAAAAGTAGTACTTTAATTTTTTTAAATGCGAGACCGCATTGATCTCATATCCTAATTAGTTTGAATAAACAAGTCCAACACTACAAGCAATGCATCCATTCCGAAGGGTAGATGATCCTGATATTTTTTATATGCAAGGATTTATGAAGTTGACATCACTACTTAAAGATTTTAATCATCGGTAATGACACCAAAAACTTGATCCCAACCAAAGTAAGATTGCAATTATATTTGTAGGGATTCTACGCAAGTATGCGTATCGTTAACAAGTAATATAGAGGTTTCTGATTAAGCCTCGAATATCGATCCCACAGAGATCGAGGTTAATTACGACGGCTTTCAAGAGAAGTTCTAATTCAGAATAACAAACCCTAGCTTGAAAGGTTGATAAAGGTTTGATTTTGATTATATCATACAATTATCACTATAATACTACTATTTATGAACTAAAATACTTAATGAAAATTAGAAAGTGGGGTTTAATATATTAAAAGTACTCTTCCTCATGTAATTAAATTAGTGACATGTGTGAAAGTAAAACAAGTAGTGAGGGAGATTTTGACAAATAGGAGAAATTTTATTCTTTACCCTTATTAGAGATGGTATGTATGTAGAACATGGTTAATCTAAAGTTTGAATAGTTTTGAAGACGGGCTAGATAAGGAAGATACTAGCTCTCACTAGAATATACTAGCTCTCACTCTAGAGTTCTGTCTTATCCCTCCACCTGGAGGCTAACATCTCGCAATTCAGAATAACACACCCTAGCTTGGAAGGTTGATAAAGGTTTGATTTTGATTATATCATACAATTATCACTATAATACTACTATTTATAAACTAAAATACTTAGTGAAAATTAGAAAGTGGGGTTTAATATATTAAAAGTACTCTTCCTCATGTAATTAAATTAGTGACATGTGTGAAAGTAAAACAAGTAGTGAGGGAGATTTTGACAAATAGGAGAAATTTTATTCTTTACCCTTATTAGAGATGGTATGAAGAACATGGTTAATCTAAAGTTTGAATAGTTTTGAAGACGGGCTAGATAAGGAAGATACTAGCTCTCACTCTAGAGTTCCGTCTTATCCCTCCACCTAGAGGCTAACATCTCGCATCAAAACCTAAAACAATAGACCAAATTAGAAGCCTTAGTCTATCACTCTAAAGTCCTCTAATTCTACTCCCATTAAAGTTTATTTCCCTATTTATTTGCACTCAACTATATGGACTACATTCTCATTCATACAATCTCATGTGATTCTACCATAGTTGATTGAGACAACACCATCCCAAATCTTACATGTTCTCACAACAGATTTTAACATGTAAGTTGATCATGTTTACATGTAAATGAAGAACAAAGTAAAATCATCACAATATATTCTCACTCTACACAATTCTATATCATACACATGCATATTAATTCATTATAAGAGGGAAGAGTAAAGAAACTACTCACTACACATGGAGAAAAGACAAGAAATTTTCATTGAACAAGACTTTGAAACCATACAAACAAAGTACTAGATTCAAATCAAAATACAATGAAAATACTTATCTTAGATGAAAAAGCAAGAAAATCAGAGCAAAAAAGAAAATACTTATCTTAGATTCCTTTAAGCTCATCGACAAAGTAGCAGTCCTAAAGTCTAAGGTTTAAAGATTTAAATGACAAATTCAAAGTTTAATTATTATGAGGTGGGGTTAAAGTTGATTAGAACGACACCGGTTAGGATCCCACGGTTCCCTCGTTCTTCTATCACTATTTTATTTTGATTTTACTTAGCTTAAACGAGTTGCAAAACCCATTTAAGCTGGGGAGAGCTCGTTAGCAATCGTGGGTTACCTCCTCCGAGGGACTCCCGTAAATTCAAAAGGACGTTTTAT